GGTCTTAAATTTTTATTTCAAGTGGCATTAAAAAGTCTTAAAAAGTCTTGAATGTAACTTGCCTTATGCTGTAGGAACCCTGCATACATTAAATTCCTTAGTCTGAATTTTTATCTGGTGAAAATTCAGCTGCAAAAAATGTTATGGTGAAGGTTTGGGGCAGCGCTGTAGGTTTAGGAGAGCCGTAGAGATTTAGTCACCTTATAAACAGAGGCGGCTGGAGTTTCCTCCAGGGGGCGCTATAAATTAAAAATAGACATATACCAAAAAACCAATCAAATGTATCGTTATAGGAAATACATCACCAATCCTTCAAAAAATGCCGCTTTACTAGTCATTAAAGATAAAATATTTATCTTGCACATCTAAAATAGATATATATAGATTAAAGTTAAATTATTAAAAAAATTATATATTTTGTATGTCTTAATCAGCGTCATTGGGCGTGGGACGGCGCCCTCTATTGACCAGCCACCGCTACTTATACCGGTACAGAGCGTGTGGTGATCAGATGCTTTCTGCTCCTCCCTCCCTGCAGGTGGGTGCATGCATAGTGAACCAGGAGAACAAGATTGTCGGCATCGGCTACAACGGCATGCCTAACGGCTGCAACGACGACCTGTTGCCATGGTCACGCTCCGCTGATGATCGGCTCAACACCAAATACCCGTACGGTAGGGACACCTGTGCACCTCACGCATTAGCTGGCGTTAAGCTCCTGTCCCTCAGCCAACTGCTCCACTGCTAGGTGTGATGCAGCATGGCTAAAGCAACCTGCTTTGCGTTGTCGTAGAAACGGTGTGTGGTCTCTCTCTGTTGGTTCCCACAGTGTGTCATGCAGAGCTGAACGCCATCATGAACAAGAACAGCGCCGATGTCAAAGGATGCACCATGTATGTGGCTCTGTTTCCCTGCAATGAGTGTGCCAAGCTGATCATCCAGGCAGGTGGGTGACCTGAGCCAATGGCTGCTCCAGATTCAGAGTGCATCTCTATTTCACCGCTGTCTTTCCTTTCCCGCCCAGGTCTGAAGGAGGTGGTGTATCTCTCTGACAAGTACCACGACACGCCGGAGATGGTGGCTTCCAGGCGGCTGCTCGACATGGCGGGAGTTCAGTACAGGTACCCTTCCTGCTTTAAGCATCTCTACTTTATTGTGTGGCTGTCCTGGACTAGACAACCCGATCAGGGAGGGGTACAAACCAACAAGATGTTGGAATGAAAGAGTTTCAGCATCGGCAGAACAACTTTAGAGACAGTTTGAAAGGAAACTGTTTGCTTTTCATTCAGACTCAGAGAGGGTAAGATATTGAGCAGATAACAGGAAGGCTAAAATCACAGAAGCCGCTCTTTTTCTCTGTCTGTCTGTCTGTCTGTCAGGGTAAGTAACAGTTTGATATAAATAAACTTTTACTGTTCCTTACATTGGCCCCTTGATTTTACGTTATTCCATCATGTTCTACTCACCCATATGAGTTTTGTGTGATTTGAAGCCGTTCTGAAGATATTCCGTTAGGTTATATCCAGTAACGTCTTCCTATGGGCAACGAGTTGAAGGCACAAACTAAACTGTTCATCATTTATTCTTTAATGTACGCCAGCATTCAGAACATGGAGGAGAATCACTGTCCCCCAGACACACATGGTTATTTTTTTTATATTTTTATCTTTTAAAAACAAAGCGGAGTGTGTATGACGTCATCCACGCACGCCGGCTACCGACATTCTTCCTGTCCACTGAACTGCTGCTAGTTTTCCTCACATGCCTGGAAGATGTCTAGTGCTGCTACCACAGATGATCTCGCTCTCCTAATGGAATTGAGTGATTCAGATTAGCTAGAATGAATAGAGGCCTTACGTAAACGTATCACCAGAATGATTGACAGTTAGGAGGACCACTGATTGAGATGATCCACCTGGAAATAAAAGATCGACCTCTATACCTTTAAATTTATTAACCATTAATTACTCAGTTCTCAGGTAGCCTTTTTACCAAATACTTTTTTACTTTTACTTGAGTAACACATTTTTTAAAGTAGTGCTAGTCTTACTTTAGCACAATACCTGTGGTGACATCTTGGATTTACTAATAAAACTGAAAATGGTTATTTATTTATTTATTTTCCTTTGAACCTGATTTAAAATATCTGCCCATCAATAGACCAGAAATCCAAAATGTCTGACTCTCTCTAAAGCTGCTTCCCATCGCATGACGGGGAATCTAACTGGAAGGGTTGACCTTTAACCCCTGGTTCTCTGCTGTTGCTGTCATCAACTCCTCGCCATGTGTTGACCTTCGCTTTTTCCTCCGTTTTTCTGCAGGCAGTTCAAACCCAAGAGGTCTGAGATCGTGATAGATTTTAACTCCATTAACCACAGAGGGAGCGCCGGAGCGGTGAGGACCCAGCAGGACGGCGCGTCCACGCTGGACGCCTGAACACGTCGCCGCTGGCCGTGGCATCGTTTCATCTGGGTCTGAGCTGCAGGGTCGCTGCTGGGTCGGGTCCTTTCAAACTTTTCAGGCTGGGACCTTTTCCCCTGGATGTCTCTGTGAAAGAGGCTCCCACTCTGCAGAGGCAGAAACTTTATCAAACTTTTATTCTTGGTCCACAGTCAGTGTTTTTATCGGTTGTAAATAAGCTGAGTATTCTTGTTACTGTGGGGGGGCAATGTTACTTTGGTCAAACGGCTCCACTCTGCTGAATCTGTGCCTTTATGAATGATGGTTGAAGCAGATGTGCTGGATGTCAGCCATTACTGCCTCTGTAATAAAAGTGGGATGAAAGAAGCTGAATGACTGCTGGTTTTATTGTTCACCTGTTCCTGCTCCAACCAACCACTGACCTGGAAGCAGGAACCAGCGACTCTCCTCTGCATCAACACAGCACAGCTCTTCTATCATCCATTTGGTGCCAATTCTATATCTCTACATCTATGCTCCCTCTGCTTCTTTCATCCTCTCCTCGTTTCTCACAGCTTGTGTTTGAGCGACCAAACCCAACCCAGCGCTCAGATTCAGCTGGAAGGAACATGAAGCATAATGTGAAGCACACTACCGTAATACTGCTAATAGAGCCTCAGACTGGAAGGAGAGGGTCTGTGAACAGAAACCTTAATGGGGTTAGACCATGACTTTGACTGGGCCATCCTGACCCTTAATATGCTTTAATCAGCAGGGATGGTTAATGAGGCATCTGGAAGCCAAACTCTATTGATTCTGCATTGATACTGACATCTGCTGGACAGTTTAAGGCACTACAGGCAGCTGATTTAACAGACTAAACTGAATTGATTTGATGACCTAGTACAATGATATCATTTAAATTATTGTAGGTTATATTGTATTAATTCATATTTATGTTTAAATTGAAAACATCTTTGATATTTTTAGATGCAGCCAATAAATTATGTAAACGTATAACATGAAATTTTGGAGAAAACGAGGATGAGGATGCTTATGGACTAGGATTTAAATCATAATTTTTAAAACAATAAGTACGGTAAAAGTAAATAAACTAAGAGCCAATTTAAAATTAACTTTAATTCAGATAAGTTGAGGGATAACTGAGAAGAAAAGGTTGACAGAACAAGAAAATTAAAATAAAAACTCAATGGCTGAAACGTTCCTGTTCCTTTTAGGCTTCTGCAGAATTCTGGATCATTTTAAAGATAAACCACAAAAGATGAGATTTCTTTTTTAGCAGATGCATCATATTGGCAGAAACGTTTTTAAACACAGTTTATTGAGTCAGTCAGTCAGAATAAGTCCTGGATCAGATACATGACTTTCTAGAGCAGTGTTTAGCTCTATGGGCTCCATGCATGCACCCAAGCATCGGGGTTAATGGACCCATCACTATTAATCAGGAACCACACCGCCACCCCATGGTGAATGGACTTCCATTAAAGATGTTTGTTTAAGCCACATTTTAAACTTCCTGCTGTAAGTACTAGTATTTACCCTCTAGGAGATTTAAGGTCAACGACAAAAACAAACTGAAAGAAAAGTTACACTTAAGCAAATATACAAACCTCCAAATAACCAACCTCCCTAACGATGACATAAATCATTATTGATCTGAAATGAAAGGCAGCTCTGCAAACAGTCTGTCCAAAGCAGTAAACAGAGGGCATTAAAGCCTCCCCAAGTGAAGGGTCTGTGCCAGTCAGAAGCACTGATCCTTATTCACTGGATCGCTGATATCCCGAAAAAAAATGAAGCCACCTGCTGCCATTTTGGTACTCCCCACTCCTACAGAGACACACAGTAAAATACCTGCATGTGCAGCATTTGGCTGCAAAAACAAGAAGTTTAATGGCTGAAAGAAGACGATCCACAGGTAATTTCACAGTCAGTGGATGAACTAACCAAGAATATCCACACATACGATGTATCTCATAGTATAGTGTTAAGATGATTATCATTGATGGTGTGTGAGTTTGTTACACGTTAATATTAGCTGCCTGTTGGGTGTCAGAACTGATGTTTACCACAATAGTTTATCTAATTAAGCCAGTTTGGATATACAGTTATAATCTTCATTCTGCATGGGGCAAAGATTTGGGAATGGAATGAGAGCGGCGTCCTTCAGCTGAGAACACAGTGTAATATTTTGATAAGGTTGGAGCCATGAATGTCTCCTCATCTGCTGACATGTATGATATGATGATGTGGCAGACTGGAGATGTATAAAATGCCTTTTTAACTGTTAATCAGGGTCTCTTCTTGAGATGTGAGCCTAGAGGTGAGCAGCTGCCTTCTGTAAATTCTGAGAAACTTCTCTGATCTGAGTAAGATTACAATTTCAGTCAGAATCTGTTACCCAGAGCTTCAACAGTGCTTCAAAAAACATTTGACATAACCAGGAATCATGATTATAAGTTATGAACTGTTATTTAAAGAGTTTTTCCCGATTGATCTCTTTTCAGGAAAAAGAACTGGCTAGATAGAGCTTGAAGGTGCAGACACAGAGCCTATTATTAACAACAGTCTGCAGCGTAACATTAGTCTGGCTAACTCTATCACTGAGTTAGCCACTGACATTCTGTCTAACATAAGAAAATAGAAACGAGTAAATAAAAAGTAATTCACTGTGAAATGTCAATGTAGTTATTCATTATTAAGTGGATGATGCTGTCATTCCTGTACTGTTTGTTGTATTTCTCTTTTGAAAAAGTCATGTGCTGAAATATATCGCATGTTGAGTTGACGAACGCTGTTATGCTCCAATAAAACATTAATTATCTTGTGATGGATTTGTATAAAATGTCATATAACATGATTTATAGACTTCATTGACTTCATAATGACTTTGCGATGAGATCTGCCTGTTTATCATAAATTACAGTAATCTACTGATGCTATGAAACAGCCAGTTTGTCAAAGTGATCAATTTCTCTTTATTTTAAAAGTCTCAAGCCTCCCTGAAAACGAGAACATCATCATTGTTCATTGCTGTAGCATACATGTGTACATTCTGACCGGTCTAACTAGGGAGTACCAATATGGCGGCTGGTGGCTTCACTGCACCTGTACTACCAACGGAAGATCAGCGATCCAGTGAATAAATAGAGATCAGTTGTCAGGGGGCCTCAAATAAGGCTCTGCTGCTGCTGCTGATGATGATGATGATGATGACGATCAGCTGGAGACTCAGGAAGCTGAGCCTATAACAAAACAATCATTGCTTTACTTAAAAACATCCTCTTTAGGGATGAAACATGGATGGATCCATCCCATCAGCCATCATGATTATCACATTTTCCAACTGACCTTTAAAGCACCTTAAAGGAAGAAAGAGATTCTTTATGGATTTTAGGACGCTTCCTGGATAAAAAGCAGCAAAAAAAAACAAAAAAATAGAACTATGCTTTAACTTCAAAAGTTACACAAATGTAGAGAACAGCTGAGGCTTTCCAATATAAAACTCTAACATATAAACATGTATAGATTAGCATGTTTAGCACAATGTATATGTCATAAGGTATGTTTTGGTTAAACTGTGTGAGGTGGGCTGCACCTATATGCTCTGTCCCCAAAAGGATTATGGGCAACTAAATTCAATTCAGTTTATTTCTATAGCGCTAATTCACAACACACACCATTTTAAGGCACTTTAAAGTTCAGTACATCATCCAGTCAGATTGATTCAAAGTTTTCTATCTAAGAAAAACCAGT